GCATGCTAGGCAAAGCTCAACCACTGAGGTTACCCCTGGCCCTTGTGTATGCTGGGGGCTGAGGGCAAGGGCTCAACCCCTGAGCTATACATTAGCCCTTGCCCTGTTCTGGAACATCATGTAAATGGCCTCCTGCAGTCTGTATTCTTTTGCTCAACATTATGCCTGTGATACTTAGCTCTGTTGTTACAGTGTAGCAATAGTGTATTCTTTTTTGTTGTAGTATAGCATTCCATTGTCTTCATATACCATGATTTATTTATCCATTCTAAAGTTGAGAGAACATTTGGGTGATTTCCTGCTTGGGGCTTTTGTGAATAGAGTTATAATAAATAGTCCTGCATATGTCTTTTGGTTGACATAAGTTCTTATCTATGTTATGTGTATTCCCAGAAATGGAATTGCCATGTTATTAGTTAATACATGATTAGCTTATGAATTGTACAAAGACTCTAGTACTCCTATGGGAAGGTGACTGACTTATGCCAGGCCCAGGCACCTCTGCACCAAAGGCCTGCATCACCACCTCACAGCTCTGTGCTGCTACTCACAGTCTCTACTTAATAACCATGCTTATCTTGGTTCCACTGGCTGCTGTAGTGTCCTTTATCTGGCATCAGAGTGCCCTGAGAGAAGAGCATGACAAAGTACTAGGCTGAATGGCTGGAGATCTGGAATCCTGCCAGGTTCTGATGTAATTAGGCTGTGTGGCTTTGGGCAACTCAGATAGCCTCTCTGGTGTCTCAGCTCCTCTATATTGGAAAAGAAAGAGGAGATTAGATGGCTGACAAAGTCATTTCCAATTGAAATCCCTTGACTCCAAATACAAGAAAACACTGTGCTGTGTCTTGTTCCAGCGGACAGTTGGAATGCACTTGGCTTTGGAACATGTGAGTAAAAACAGTTTCCCTGGAGCCACAATGTGTCCACTTTGGATGCTCCCCCTCCCTGAACTGGGACTAAAGTGGATTCAAACAAGGCAACACACTTGGGTGAAGACCAGTTGTGTATAGTGTGTACTTGGGGACATTTCTACACTATTAGCATCAGTAAACAGGCATTTCTCTGCCTGTCCAACATCGTGGCAGAAGTGCTTATATAACCTTGATACATTTCAAGCATCTGTTATTTGGGAAGTAAAGAGGCTAACAACCTGTGTTTCAGAAATCTCTCAAGTTCCGTGACAGGTAGATATTGTTAAAGGGTTAGGAGAATGTCCCTGTACTTTGAAGTAAAAATGGCTTGAAAATTCATCAAGGCCAGAGGAGCCATTTGGGAGAGATGACAGATGGGATGTTTGTGCTTGTTTAAGGAACAGAGATGAGAAATGAGTCTCTTCTGACTTGTGCTCTGCTCGTCAGAGATGATCACTCTAAATCCAACACGAAGGAAATCAAAGGGCCTTGAGACCTATACAGGTTTGAGCTTGGATGAGACGGGGCTGGGCTGGGTTTGCCTGTCACCCTCTGGGCACACCTCACACACTCATGCCTCCTTCCATGTCCTCACGCCGGACTCAATATTTCAGCCACTGAATTTTGATGAAGATACAATGAGGAGAAAATAAATGAGATGTCAGAGAAAACACATAAAAGCAAAATCAATCAATCAATCAATCAATAAATAAATAAATAAATAAAACAACAGAAGAATGTCCAGGAAATGACAGAAAGTGGCCTTTGGAAAACCTGCTCTAAATTTGGTGAGGCTTTCTAAAATAAACTTTATACCAGAGGTACCAGGAAATCTTTGTGCATTGCTATGTTGTGATGCTGTATAAAATTTATTTTTTCTACAAAGTGTTAAGTGAGGTTCATTAAGGTGCCCAGAGCTCATTCTTCTACATGTTAGGGCATAGCATATAAAATTTACCACAAACAAGAAATTAGTAGCAAAGGTACTGTTAAGTGGAAGTCAAAGACTGAGGGAGAGTGCTCTGAGATGTAGGGACCTCTGCCTCATGATTTTACTGGATGAATGGACAGTGCAATGATTAGTTCTTGAAATTACCACAGGGAGATTTTGTGATTCATGCTATTACTGTTTATTTTGTTGTATGCTGGAAGATACATCTTTATACTGCACTTGCAAATGCCTTCTAATTATTGCTGACTTGTTTTATGCTATTTTGAGTTTTTAATCTCTTCAAGTGTGCTGCTCAAAATTCTTGTATTCAAAACATGTCACAGAAGCACATGTGCATGCATACGTACGCACAAAGGCACACAGTGAGAACTACTATTTTAGGGCTTCGTTGTTTTTTATGGGATTCGATATACCATAATTGAGGGGAAAAGTTTTAGAGCTGATGTTCTGTTATGACTTGTCAAACACATCTTAGTCCATGTTTTCAGAATGTGCTTCTATTGATTGCACTCCATATCAAGCCCTTTCCAGTGATTCTCATTGGTCTGCTATAACTATGGCAACTCTATGGCCTACATTTCCTAGGATGATCCTGATTTCAAGGACTGATTTAATTGTCTCTATAAGTACACAAATAATAGAGCAATTGCTCCAGTTTTTAGCTCAGAAAATATGATTGTAATATCTGTATTCTATTTCAGCATAGGTCATAGAGTACAAGTGCTCTGACATGCAGCTGAAATGCTACTCAGAAGAGCTGGGGAGAGGGCTCTTGTGTGTGATGAACAGCACCATAATTAGGCTTTCTGGCTGGGGACCAGAAACAGGTCTCTCTCTTCCCTGATAACTCATGTATCATTGTTTCTGCGTTTACCTCTCCTTTCCATCTATCTCTTCCTTCACTGCCACCTAGTATGCCAGGGACAGTCCAGTGATATGTGAAGGAGTAGCTGAAGAGAGGATTTTGCCTTTAGCAGGTTTTTGCTTAAACTTGGCATTTAAAAATCAGAGTAAAAAGCACAAACCTTCCCACCTGAGACCTCTAATTCTGTTTGAGTGATTTGAAAGTATAGGTGATTTTTTTCAGGTGAGGGTAATAATTAGAGATGATTGGAAGTCTTCTTCCCTCCCCTCCTTCTTCCCCCTTTACTTCCTTCCCTCTTTCCTTCTTCTCTTTCTCTCCTTGGTTCCGTTGGAAAATATTGATATATGCTGTCTTCCATCTGAAAATATATATTTATATATTTGACTTATATACTTATATATTTGGTTGAAAGAACATATTTAATATTCTAAGAAGGTAAATATAGTCAAGATAACAAGTGATTCCTTTATCTAAAAAACACTTTTCTCTCCAAGAAACTTTGAGCACTATTGAGCATCCTTGTATGTAGAACCTTCAATATGAGCCATGTATTGGAGGAATAAGTGACATGCGTTTGTGGGAGGGGAGATCCCAAAGAAATGAAAGATAATCCCTGGGAATTTTAGTTACTTGTATAGAAAAGATTTAAACATATTATATAATTTAAAAACAAGTGCAAAGTAGCATGTAGTCTCAAAACCGCAAAAGAACAAAATAATCTAGGTGCATATAATTGAAAAGAACAAAATAATGAGATGTAATAAAAACTCTTCTATTGGCCACAAATATAGAAATGAAAAAGACAAAACCACATAAAGGTCTAATAATAACAGATCAGCACATAATTGAAGCTCAAAAATGTTAATGCATTGTTGAGTAACATAAGAGAATGCCTTGGTATGTGATGGCTCTAATGTTGAAAGGGACCAACTGAAAATAGTACCATCACTCACCTAACATTTTCCTTCCCTTCCTTTTCTTTCCCTTTTTTTGTGATCTGGGGATTGAATCTGAGGCCTTGCACATGATGCTACCAAGCTATATGCCCCCAGACCCATTCACCTAATTTCTAGAGAATACATCTGCCTCTGTAAGTCTAAGGTGATATGGCTAAATGTACATGTAGCAGAATGTTTAGAAAAAAAAGTTAAATCTGTACAAAAATGACCTAAATATTAATTTAGTCTTGTAGAGGTGACATATGAAACTAGAAACTTTCCAAATAAATCATCTCAGCTTGGTGTGATGTCGTTTTAGTCCCTCCACTATTTTATGCCATCTTTGGCAAGCACTTAACTTTTCTCTGCCTAACCACATTATGGCCCACCTTATGTAACTGAAGTGAAAGAAGACACCCATGTCGAAAGTGAATGCTCTACTTGTTTGGTGCAAAATTTCCCCCCGTTTTTTAAATTTCTATGCAGATTTGAAAATCAGCATTAAAATTTGTACTTTATAGAAAGAAATAAAACAAGTATTTTATATAGTTCACGAGATAGGTACATTGGCCAATTTTTTTTTTTTTTTTTCTTTTAATGGCTAAGACTAAAATATTCTAAATTTTGTGTCAGGGATTTGAATGTAGTATTTAAGAACAGCTCCATTAGGGGAGTGCATCGCTCATCCAACTTCAAATTTCTTAAAGAGAGAGATTGTGTCTTTGAACTCACCAACTTCAGTTTCTAGATAATGTCTTTAAATCTCCATTGCTGGATGAATGAACTTCCTTGAAAGTTGACGAGTGACAAGGCTTCAGAGCCGCCAAGACTACAATTCCCAGAATGCCATGCTTCCCTGGCACTCTGGAGACCGAGGCGAGTTCGCCCCAGCACCCATCGCTTCAGCTTGAGACTACAATTCCCAATACCTCAGGGGCTTCGGAAACCTTGTCAAATACCACCTGTTGCCATAGCATCCGGGTCCGGGCCAACCAATCATCGCTCTCCCGCTGAGTAGAGGCGGGCCTTTCGGATCTCCGACCAACACTAGGGGGTTTTGCTATGGCGCGTGACCGGAGGAGGCGGGAGCTCTGGACCGGCGCCTTCTCCTTGCCTTTTGGGGTCGTGGCCTTGCTCCTGCTGGGCAAGGGAAGTGTCCCGGCTCCTCCACCCGCGTGAGTGCGCGGGGGCCCTGAAGAACTCGTGGGTCCGCTCTAGGACTGCGGGGACAGAAGCAGGAGCCATGGGTGGGACCGCCAGCACTCGCCGGGTCACCTTCGAGGCGGACGAGAATGAGAACATCACCGTGGTGAAGGGCATCCGGGTGAGTTTAGTGGGCGGGCGGAGGGCCAGCACTCCGACTGGGACCCCAGCGCCCCGAGGTCCCCGGGACCCGCTCCGCTCGGTGTCTCCCTGTCCCGCCCCCGTGTTTGTCCCACCCGGAGCCTGGCTCTCTGGGAAGAAGCCCGTAGTTTCCAGACTCGGGACGTTCATTCAGAGAGAGTTCCTGGTTGTGTGCCAAGTGCCAGGCACTGTGCGGGGCCGGGTGGGGCATGCCGGGTTGAACGGGACCCTCCAGGGCTCACCGCCTGGCCTTACCTGCACTGCTCACTAGTTGCAGGACTTTGGCACTCACCGCGCCTGCCGTGGGACGGGTGGTGTCTTACTGCTCCTGTATTCAGGACCCGAGCCCTGCTTTCCCACGCCTACATCATCTCTCAGGGTGAATTGGCGTTTTAAGGATCACTTTAATTTGCTTTCTGTCATTTAATGTTTTCTTTCTGATACCACCCCTTTCCCCATCACTCACACACACACACACATACACACGCACCCCTCCCCCTTTCTCGCCTGCCTCTGTGACTTCTGACTCCTCCCTCCTTCACTTTCATCTGATATCTGGTTTTTCCCAGGAGCCTTCTCTGTGGCCTGCTGTGCCTACGTTTTTGGACTAGTCCCAGTTACTTCAGGCCTACTGTCTGCCAGCCTGATGGGGGCTGAGATAGGTTGGAAATTCTCCAGGCCAGTAGAAGTTAATAGAGTCAGTTCTGACCGAGACGTTGTAAGGGAATTTTTTTTTTTTTTTTTTTTTTTTTAATGCCCTCTGCATGTACTTGATACGTAAACTGAAAACTTGATTTTTCTCTAGGGTGTCAGTATACCAGCACTAACTTCATTAACACACTCTCCGCTGCACCTGAATTTGGAGCTTCACATTTTTGGAAGTATGATGCCTGAACGTAGTAAATAAAGCACTTTTGACTTCAGGAAAGTTTTATGATACTTTATATTTTTTCTTTCTCTGTTATTACACAGCCAGCTTTACTAAATTAAATGTGTGAATTCCTTTTAGCATTTGTTATTAGGAAATAAAACTTTTTATATATTGAAAGTGTTTAAAAACTTTTTCCTTTGCTACTGTTAACCTTGAAAAGAGTTTATTAAAGTTTTCTTTTAGAAACTCAGACTGTTGAACTGTTTTTGGTCTTTGACCAACATTGCTTTCTATAAAATATTAATGAATGGTAGTACGCATTTTGTTAAAAAAATATTCAAGGCTGCATTCTTTGCAGTATTGTGGTTGGTACTCTTTGGAGTAAAATAAACATTGCTGTAAACTCTTGAGTTTTATGGAGAGATTTTTAAAATCTTAAGTCTTGACTATTCCACACTGGAGGGTGAAAATGGCTTAAAAGAAAAAGCAAAATAAGTTCTGGGTGTGAAGATTGTAGAAAAATGCAAAAATCCATATTTTCATGCTGTAGTACAGACATAACGGTGACAAACCAAATTGAAAGAGAATTTGGTCATAGCAGAGATTCATATCAAATATTAGATAAGGTTGAATAGAATAAGCATGACAATAGGGATATGTATGGATTCAAAACGTAAGGTTGTTTATAAAACCTTTTTAAAGAACATTTAAAAAAAAAAAAAAAAAGAAACTATGTCCTTTGGCCCCACCACTTGACAGAAGCTTTCTTTTTTTTCTTTCTCATATAATACATTTTATCTATGTTATAATTTAAAAAGAAACTTTGTCCTTTGGCCCCACATCTTGACAAAAGCTTTCTTTGTTTTTTTCTCTCTCTGTAATACATTTTATCTATGTTGTCATAATTCAAGTACACTCTATGCTCATTTTTGACTTCTTTACTTTTCTTCAGAATGTACCCTTCACCTGGAATGCCCTTGCACTGTTCTCCATTGCTTCAAATCCTTCTTTTTCAAGGATGATTTGCAATCTCTTTGTGCTTCAGTTTTCTCATCAGCAAAATGATAGCTGAGTACAGATCTATGATTTCAGTTTTGAAATGTGGTGAGCCTAGTGGCAGTGTAAGTTCTTGTAGCCATACTTAGCCTGTTACAGTTTCCTCCAAAAGTGTCATGTTGTTAACTGCTGAGTACTCAGAGGTCATTCTGATTTCTTTGAGGTCATGGTCAAAAGAATATCAACTAGGAATTAGACTGACCTCGTTTTAAATCTTACATGTTAGTTTGTGGTCTTGGACAAGTCACTTCTCGGAGAATATACCCTTATTTTTAAAGGGGGAGTACCATCACTTCCTTTGATTGGTTAGGGTAATAACCTGAGGTAAGGTCTGTGAAGCATCTTAAGAGTCCTGTCACATGGAAAAAGAAAAATGTCTAAGATTCTTTGAAAGCACTGTGTAGTGTAGAAAAAGCATGTGCTTTGAAACCAAAAAGACCTGGGTTTGGATCCTAGCTCTGCTTTGGTAGCTATGTATCCCTGGACAAGTCACTTTTAATTATGTTTCTTTCTTCAGTGTGTCTGGATAATAGAGCCTACTAGTGAGAATTTGACATGTGGATGCATTTAGCGCAGTGCCTAGTGTCAAACAGTGTTTGCTGAATAGTAGCCGTTACTAGAACTGTTTTAAGAGGACAGATGCATAAACTTACATGACCCTAAGGTAGGTAAAAATAAGACCATGTTGTGCTCCCACTGGTGAACCTAATGGCACGAGGACTGGATATTGGGAGTCCAGTGTGATTTGTGTTTAGATACTTTGTAGATTTATTTTAGTTGATCCTTACATTTTTCCTGGCTTTAAACAGCCATATTGTTTCCTTCCGAGTCATGGGGAACAGCACTATGGGTATGTAAGCAGGGCATTGTCTTTAGTTCAGTTGGTTAAAACATGGCACTGAAGAAAACTTTACCACTTTGATTAATTTTCTAATGTTTAAGTCATTGATTATGGAAAATATAAGTACATGTTCTATAGCATCAGTCACTGCTGGAAAACCAATTCTGTTCCACTGATTAGGATAGTAATTTCATCTTCACTTACTACAGTAAGAATAACATTTAGTAAGCAACCTAAAACTTTTTGTAACTAAGCCAAGTTTATTGATAGATAATGTTTCTTCATATTTTTCTTGCTGAGGTCCCAAACAACTAGCAATTAAAGAACCTATTTACAATTTTAAGTTTAAAATTTCTTCTCACCTAGCAGGTGTTTTCATCATAGGGTCTGTTTATTTTCTTTATCCTTAGCAATTGTTAGCTTTTTTCCCTTCTTCTATAAATAACCAATATTCTTATACTTGATTCCAATTTTGAGTCTGAAACTATTCATATGGGTTTGATGAAGGGACCCCCCTCTTGCTTTGCCCTCCTCTCCAAGTCCAAAATAAGCTACTAGTGATAGAAATACCAAGCATTTTTATTACTCATATTACATGTGCTTAATAGGATTTTTGTGACCACCTGCTGTGCCTGCTTGGAAAGTATGCTTATGACCCAGTCTTTCACAGGTTTATCTGAAACATCAAAACTGTGAGTGAACTCTTCTAGAGCAGATGTCAACTTCAATGAGTATCACTTTCAAAGTAAGACTTATCATGGTTTCCAGGCATAAATGAATCTCTGCAGCTGGCATTGAAGTTCAAGCTAAAATTCACAGGAGCAAGTTATGGCAATATGGATACTTACAAGGAGCACATCTTTTGCTTTGGGAGATATTGACAGTTGAGAGCCCCTAAATGAAGAGATTCCTTAATGGGGTGTCATACGTGCTGAATGACAAATTCATTCTGTCAGCCTTTGGGATTGTTGAGAATGTTGCACGAATAATTCAGTTAACTAATAGATGATTGGTCCCTTGAACTGTGGATTCTGTGACTCTTGTGCATAGTACCTTCTTAATCTTTCTAGGATTTAATAAAGACAGAAGTTCTTGGTGTCTTCTAATGACAAATGCAAAAAAGATACAGGTGACAAACTATAAAGCCAAGAATTATGTATTTTATAGGTATCTGTGGGTATGGTATTCACAACTGTGCCCTATGCCCTTGAAAGTTTGGGAGTGATTTCTGTCAAATGATAATAGCAGTTTTTGGAGACTATGTCTTAAAGTAGTTGAAAAGTGTACTAAGTCTCACAAAAAATGACCTGTGCTCTGTGGAAGACCAAGAGAGAAAAATGGGTCTGAGTTCATTCGTCACTTTGATGACACATCTGGGAGAAAATAAAAACTATGATGGGGGTGAGGGTCTGGTTTGGTTCTGTCTGTTGTGGTTCCTGACTTGGGCTTTCAGAGAAGGACAATATAAGAGGAGTTCTCGCTTCCTTTTACTCCATACCTTGGGAGCAGAATACTTTATTTTTGCTGCTCTAACCAAGTCTCCAGTCTGAGAAAATACTGGATTTTTTAATTGGTGGGTGGTATGTTTGTGCTAATTCTTGGATAAGACCAAACAAGGTGGGTGGGAAAACTAGAAGATGACACACATCCTCCCTCTGGAGTGCGCTGGTGCGGTGAGTAATACCCATTTCAACTTGGCTTAAAATTGGTTTTAGGAGCCGTGGAGAGCAGGTTGGATAGGCAAGGTCAGTTGGTTGAATGTCAGCAGGCCTGCTCTCTTGATTGCCCCATATATTAGAAGCATAGTTCTTAACTTCTTTTAGTTAATAGACCACTGTATATCTATCTGTGATCAATGAACTCTGCCCAGAACAATGCAGTAAGCAGACAATTTTGCATACAATTGAGGAATTAGTCCATGGACCCAGTTGTAGTCCATAGACTTCTGGGTATATTCTTAGCATCAATATATTGTGTGGGTGTTATTTCACTACTCTTTGATATAAATAATTTCCATAAATTGTACTTGATATTTGCCTTATAAATTCCAGATATGAGTGGAAAGCAGGTATAATATAAGTATAGATCAATAAATGGGAAAAGCCTTTTCTAAAAGGCATGTCTTGTTTATGAAAGCTGCATTTCCTGGAGAAGTTGCTTCTTGCAGAGGCTGCCTGCCTAGCTCTTGCAGAAGCTTGTGCTGTACCGTTGAGTCCCCATCCCAGCTTTGGGTCAGTTTTTGTCACACATCAGAGTTATTCTACAGCTGCAGATTTTGTGTGTAACCCTGGCCAGCATTTCTCAATCTTAGCAGCTGCCTAACAAGTGAATGTCCCTGTTCCCAGAGGAGATCAGGTGAGTGTACAGGTCTGAACTTACTACTGCAACTTGGAAGGTCAGCTCAGAGAGCATGAACTCTAAATGCAAACGATAACAAAGCAAGACTGTTGCCTTGGATCAGCAGAGACAGGACAGTCTGAGGACAGGGTAATAGTGCTTGAAGTCACAGAGTTGGAATTGTAGATGGTTATGGGTGCTACTCTGAAGGGCCCAAGAATGTAGTCTGGAATGAGTGTAAGAACAAATGGTTGACTTTCAACAGGCAAACCTATATGATATGTTTATCAACCCTGCAATGTGTTTATCATCTGTTCCTGTGGGTGATGTGCTTATTAATTCACTGGACTACATATGACCAAAGACTGCACTGAGAAATATTTTGAATCATGTTAGAGTTTGACATTAAGTGGTAGAATTTGAAGCATCAAACCCACAAAAGGAGATGGACAGTTAGTAAGAAACAATTATTGATTAGGTTGAAAGAGACATTCCTCTCTTACTACCCAAAGAGCACAGATACAGGTAAAGGAGTACTTTATATATGCATACCAGCATGGAGCTGTGGCCCTAATCTTTGTGCCCCATGTAGAGAAGTATAGGCTCAGGCCATTGGTGAGATTCAACCAAGAAGAAGTAAAAATCAGTGTCCTCCTGGCTGGAGCTGTATGAGCAGTAGCTTTACCAAATACCTTGTAGCCAATTATAGTTAATACCGCATAAACTATAATCTTCTCTGTAACCCCCAGAAGCAAATTCACTTTTTAAATGAGGGAAGTGAGACTCATTGAAGAGACTTCCCTAGGGTTACAGAGCTAGTAAGTGGCCATGATTTTTCATCTATACTGGGCCAGCTTTCTAAAAAAAAAAAGCTATCTATCTGAAAGGACGATATTTTTGAAACTACTTTGGAAATTGGAAGGACTTATCATGGTGGCCAGAGATGGTAGCAAGGTATGAATTTTTATGAGAAGTAGATGTAATAGTTAGAAGGTATCTGTCTCCCATATGGACAA